GTGGCATCATCTTTAAGTGTGGGTAACCTCTTAAAGAATGTTGACTAAGGTTTTTGAGATTTTCCAAGGATGATAACTGTTTAACCTGGGTTTCAAGAAATTAGCTCCAGATTCCTTCAAATAGTAGATACAAGAAAGCTATCCAATCTGTGGAAGTACCTTCCCGTTAGTGCTTTTTTTCCAGTAAGAGGTGAGGAAGGTTGCAACGTTGGTATATTGAATCTTTGTTCCAGAAAGGTCAAGTTCTGGAGGCAAGACATTTGCTCAAAGGATTTGTACTTTATTGCTGTCAAAGCACTCTATTGTTGTCAAAGCACTAGATTCTAAAATATTAAACTGACAAGGTTATAAAGATTGCCAATGGTTGGTAATGCTTTTATGTTGGTTTCCAAAAGGTTAAGGATTTGAATGGAGCTTAGATGCTCAAAGAATTATCTGTGATTTTGACCAGTACCCGAGAGCATTGTCTTAAAAAGGGATGTTGAAGATTGCTAGTGTTGGAAAGGAAATGCATGCTTAACACCACTTTCAGTTTCTCATAAATTAAGGATGTGAAGACCAACATTTCTTTCTAATGAATTCTTATGGAATTCATTGAACTTTTCAATAACTAACAAATCAAGATTTTAGTGGGTGACTAAATTCTGGGTAGTCTGTCTAAGGCTTTGCAGCAACTTACTGAGAGATGCGTGAGATTTTCAAAACTGAGAAGTTTTGGTAAGCTTTTAATCCGGGTTTTGGAAAGATCAAATGCATGTTTGGATAATCATATGATTTGTTAATTTGGACAAACCATGTGACAATAAAGATTTTAAATGCACCATCCATCACTATTTATTTCTTAATGTTGAAGGCAATTAAAGTTGCAAAACTGAATGTTTGTAAATTTTTAAACAAAAGTCATATACGAAATTGAACAACCCCTTTTCCCAGATATTGTAGTGTGTGTGTGTGTGTGTATTCATAGTTTTACTAGGGTTTTGACATCACAAATCATACACTTTATATTTATAGAATTGGAAGAAAGATTAATACCTGGGAATGAATTGTAGTAATAATTGGAACCAATTGGGCTGTAGTTCGCATTGGGACGTGGCCAACATGAGTGTACACGAGAGTAGTAAAAAATAGGTACCTCAATTCATCAGAGGTGACTGAATTCGTGAGTGTCAAATTCTTCGGCGAAGTGTTTGAGTTGCATGAACAGTCTTATCAGACTTGTTTGCATATAGGAGTCTGGTACAACCCGTTCAGAGCTTTCTTTAATTCCATGGGGATGTGTCACCACTTCTTAATTGTCCGGGACGCCTGCTTGAGTTCCGGGGTGATTTTTCTAATCGGAAAAATTATATCAATTATGTTGACCCCAACATTCAGACCAGATTAGGTCAACACAAGTTGTGATACCCCTCGAATCTAGAGCCACGGGTGATCAAGTCCAAGCACAGAATACAAGGGATATCAAACAATTAATATTTAAACAAGCATTGGAATACAAGATGAATTAAAAATAAACAGATAAGCTGAAAGGAAAACTAAATAATAAATTCTTATTTAAAAATCCTCAAATAAATAATGATTAAAATTCCATAATAAAATCCTCCAATCTTCTGATACCAGTAACTAATTAAACTACAACTCGGGAATCCATACTGTGGACCCCTAATAATATCCTAACTGACATAACTGAATCGAAAAAATAATAAGTTACTAATGAAGAAAAGTCCTACGTAGAGTCGGAAGAATGAATGGCTGTCTCTGCTCGGCACGAACAATCTCTAAGACTGGAACTGACGAACACCTGAAAAATAATGGTGGGTCAGGCCCACATACAAGTTCTAATCTACTACATCCCAAACAGAGACCCGATACACGTACACATCCTAATTAATTCAACAATAACTAAATAGTCCATATATAGATATATACACACACTAAAGGAACCTCACTAGACTATAGAGTTGTCTCAACCTGAATAGTAGGCAACATGCAAAACGCATATATAGTGGGCATGAGTACCTAGACCTACCAGGGTACACAACTACGCTATATCTAGCTACACATCCCTGGCAATATACGCACCCTAACCACTGATCCTGAGACTCAAGCTCATATCATGGTGTATAATTATATATTTAAAATCCGTCCTATCCAACCATCAAAAATAATCTATCCAATTATTATTTCAATACTATGTCATCCAACTATTCCGTTGACCTGACACGAATAAGTAGGACTTAACACTATGGTTAATCCGTTCCCTTATTAAAAATAGGTAGGACTTAACTCGTAAGTTAATCCGTCCCTAATATGCCCCCATCCCATAATGGTGCATTAATCCATAACATATCCAAATAACAGTTTCCAACCCAAGGATAATGTAAATATATATATATTTTTACATCTAATAAACCAAATAAATATGATATAAATCTTATACACGTCCTTTGCATTTATTTCAGCAAAAATATCAATTCTAATTAACATGCATTTAATTTACATCACAAGAATTTAACATGCATCTCAATTAAATTGTACATCCCCATGTACTCATTAAATTAATTTAAATCTAAACAATTGATTAAACTAATTTAATCCAACAATATTTAATTAATTTATCCTTTCTAAAATTAATTAAATTCCATACTTAGCATGTACACTTAAAACATGCATTCCAACTCTTAATGAATCTAATTAAATTAAATAAATATTTAATTCAGATTCATCAATCAAAAATATATTAAACTGACTTATACTTTATACAAATTTCGTTCTGCGTGTACACTTTATGAATAAACAAATTTCAATTATAATTATATTATAAACTAGTTTATGTTAAAGTCATATCTTGCTACAAACAGATTGTTGCTTACAATTAATGCATAGAATTCTAGAATGCAAAAGTAACCAAAACTGATGGTTACTTCCTTTTTCGGCGTGCCAAATTTACAAAGAAAATTTAGTTTTGAATTCTTATATACTTCATTCATAAACTGATTAATGGAAACATATATAGTTGACCTCGTTCGGCGTGTATACAAGGAACCACACAGATTCGTATATATATATATATAACTGGTGCATGCCAATTTGATTCATGCTAATGCTAAAAGAAATTCCTCGTGACGCGTGCATGAAGTAAACAAACAGAAATTCTAATTAACATTAAATTACAATCTGTTTGTTTTTTTTTTTTTTTTCAAAAACAACTATCAATGGCTTCCTTGTTCGGCGCGGGTGAATCAAATCTAATTCCATCTGAATTATATAAATTACTCTATACTAAACCCATAATATATTACAACATAATTAAAACCCAAACTATAATACAACACATGAAAATTTAATTTATCAAAATATGAAAATTATTTCAAACCCATTAGTAACACATGAACTGAATTTTTCAAATAAATTTATATAATTAGATTCAATTAATTTATTTAAAGAACCTAGAATTAATCGAGCATGCATAGGGTACGAATCAAAGGAGAAGAGTTAGAAAAGAACTTGCCTTTAGGGATTAGATAAAAAACCCTAACCTCCTTCTTCCTTTTCTCTTCCTTCCTCTTCCTTCTTTCTCTCTCTAAAATATAGTACGTAATATATTTTCTAACCTCTGTCACAACCCTATAATTATATATTTATAGTCAAATAAAATAACACTAATCCTTTTCCCAATCCAAGCCAAACTAATAATAAAAATAAAATAAAGTCTAAATACTAAAAAGGTAACTAAAATATATGGTACGTATAATCTATGTGTAATCCTTTTTATATGTAATATATAAATATATATGACTTTCCTTATATATATATATATATTTAAATTCCTAAATAAATACACATCCTCACACACAATTTCATTTAAACAATTAAATCAATTAACACATTTAACAAATAATTAAATCAATTAAACAAGTAAACAATTAGCCAAGAAATCAACTAAATAATTAAATGCAATTAAAAAAAATACCGAGACTATCCTTTTAAAATCAGGGGTATTACACAAGTTCCCACAGACGGCCAACCGTTGATTCAAAAATCTGCACGGTCAGAAGCGGAGTGTTTTCTGCAAGACAAGAGAGAAGTGACGGCCGGCACCACGCCGGCCGGGTGCACTCCGACGGTCAAGTTAGTACTTGACGATTCAATATCTAAGAAAAAAGATCCAATATGAGATTTATGGCTTACCTTTTTATATTGACTAGCCTCACTTTTATAGAAAGTTGAAATTGTCGTTTCCGCATTTCCTTCCGGGAGAGAAGGGATTAGTGAATCGTATCTGTAGTGCAACATTTGAATTAATCAAATCTTATTCTTTAATTACCTTATGAGATGAACACCTTATAAAGTAATTATCTTCTTGAGTTTATCCATATCCTTTGAATCTCTTTGTCACTTGAAATTCTTATCAAGTCGAATATTTCGTATCAATAATTAATAAAACAAACTACGTACTCATAGTCTGATAGCAGTTTGTTATTTTTCTATTCTTTCCATCCTTCCCTTTCGTGGCGAAAATTCGGTGAAAGTAGTACAATTAAGAGTAAGTTTTACTACTAATATTCATAATTAGCGATGTACGCATTACACATTCAATTTTTCATTTCACATGCATTAGGTAATTACATAATTCACATAGGAAGTTTTCTGTTAGACATGCACTTGACAATTATTATAAAAAAATAAAATAAAATCTAGTGCACATGTAATAAATATTTTTGATTTAAAAAAATTAATAGAAGGAATATAAAAATAAGAATAATAAAATTTTATAGGATACATAAAGAGATATATAACTATTATAATATTTTTATAAAAAAATTATGCGTAAACACATTTTATTTTAGTAAGTAAAACGATGGGTATAATTGAAATTTTATATAATTTTTTAAAGAAAATAAAATTTTCCTATATGTTTTTGTAGAAATATTTTGTTAATATATATATATATATATATATATATAAAATTTTCAAGACATCGTGCTGCCAAACACAGAATAAGGAATTTAAACAGGATTTGAGGCAAGAGTTATGCGGCTTATGCCTATCGACTAACCCACGAACGCAATGCGAAATCCTATCGGCCCTATCCTTCAAAACGCGACGTTTTGAACACTCTGCAAGGTGCGTTCTACTGTGGTGTACTATTAGTCAAATGCGTTTGCAGCTCTCATCATCGAACAAGGAGAAGGAGATTTTCAAGAAAGGCATAATCTATAAAACCCTTTCGCAATTGAAAATCTTATACCCAAATCTGAGTCTTGATTTGAATACGTTTGTACATGTGTTCATGTGTGTGTGTGTGTATATATACACGTGTGTGTGTTTGTATATTTCAATGCCATTTTACGCTTTTTATGTAGATCTTGAAAATACAGCCGTAGAATCAACACGATTCCATGGAATTTGAAATTTTGTGTTGTCACCACTTTGAAACCTAAAATTTGTGTTGGGAATTTCTCACTCATCTCTATCTTTGAGGGTTAGTCTGTTAGGTGATGTTAAGGAATAAAGTTACAATTTCCATTTTTTTAAAGAATTTTGGAAGATTTGTGTCCTTCGCCGTTACTCGGGTGTTAATTATTTGTTAATTTAGTTATTGTAAATTTTGGTGCAGATTGTGATGAATTTTTGAGCATTGGGTGATTTATGTAAATGTTGGAGTAGAAGAGAATGGTGTTAGTGCTGGCAATTGGGATCTTCACATCATTTGCACCGGCAATCTCTGTATCAAAGTACCCCACTTCTTATTCTTCTCAATCTCTTCAATATTCGTTTTCGGTTAATTAATTGTGTATGCTTTCTTTCTTTCCTTTTCTTTTTTCTTTTTATTTTTTTATTTTTTATTTTTTTTATTTTTGGGTTTAATTCTCTTAGAATTATGGTAGCTTTTTAGCAAATATAATAACTGATGCTGGAACCAGTCTCTGAATTTCGTTCACAGCACCCGATGCATTTGATTTTTCTTGTCTGACTATAATTTAATCTTTGTGCCCATAAACACAAAATCGAGCTTAAATGCCAGAAGGCATGAAATGATTGTGGTGACTTGATTTTATTTTATTATATTTTTAAAAATGTTTATTATTTTGGTAGGTGTCTCAACTACCATTTGATTGGGTTAAACTGTGCAAAATATTTGTTGAATGCCTTGAGAAGTTAGAAGCACCATGGTTGTCAAGTTTGCATCCAATATAGTGTTATAAGTTTCAGCTAGAGAATGCATACGAGATGGTTTTGATAGCTAGCTTTAATTTTTCACTGTTGGTTCTGTGTCTTCTGAAAGCTGTCTTGTGTGTATTAGTTGATGTTAATACGCCTACAACTTCTTAAATTATGTCCTCGTTAAGCTTCATGACAATTCTTCCTACCAGAAATTTGTTTAAGGCATAAAAAGGCTTAATAGTTTGAATGACGTGATGATAGAGTGTTGGTGAGCGACAAGTTGACAACAATAGAGAGTAATGATTGTTGCGGTAGAATAGAGGATGGCAGTGTTGAGGTTGCCAGAGAAATTCTTCCATCGTTCAAGTTAGGAGGAGAGAGAGGACGTTGTCTCACATTGTTAATCTAGCTATCTAGAAAGGTTGACAATGGGATTGGTCATTTTGTTGCAAAAGAAATTTTTAGCTGTTCCTGAAATTTGTGAGGGGCACTCTTGCCACATATTTATTGGCATCTTTGGGCAGTGAAGATATCGATTCTAAAATTTAAGTTCTCCTTTAATTAGTATGAAGTGTAGATAATAGAACCATACTGACCGGAGTCATGTAGCTTTAGTTGACAAATAATAGAAGCTTGAGTGAATTGTTTTTGTTATATATATATATATATAATTGATAAGGCAAGGATAAAAACCAAACTACTAGTGGATTTCACAATGTCATTACGTAGTGACATAGAGTGATTTCCACCAAAACAACATTTTCAGTTGCTCAATAAAAAAAGCCATTGTCTGTTATTTGAGATGCAATGTTTCTGTCCTCTACTCCCCACGTGAAGCCTCCCATCTGTCTCTCACACACACATTAGGCTGGCACAAAACATCTTGAGACACTCACCAAATTTAATGGATCAATTGAACAGATGAACATCTTGATTTATTAGACGCCGTAATAGGAATGCATGAAGTCAAATAACTAGGGGAAATCCAGCAAACAAGAAATTAACCCTATTTTGCAATGACTAATACAAAGATTACAGGATTAATTGATCAAATATGTATCTGGATTCATTAGCTGCAACAGTGAGATTTGTTGCAGAGGTTTAGCAAGTGAGTACCTGCTAGCAAGAAACTCCTGAGAGATGCGTAGCATTGTCGGCCGAGACTTTGGTTTAGGATGTAAGCAAGCAGATGCCAATGTAGCAACCAGAACAACATCCCGTGCAACCACTCCGCACGTTGGAGCTTGGAGGCGCGTGTCTAACACATCATTTAACATTATATTTTGAGTAGATGTTGATGCCAATGATTAGAGAAGTTCTCCTGGATGCCTTCCCACGAGTGTTTCCAGTGCCACAACTCCGAAGCTATAAACATCACATTTTTTAGTCACAACCATGGTGAAGGCAAGTTCTGCATCAACAAAAAGAATTATGCAAGTGATGCATCAACAAGAAATATACATGTAAGAGGAAACCAACTTTTACTTTATCCTTTGCAGTAAGAAATAAATAAATAAATAACGAGATTGTTTCAAAATTAAATATTATGGAATTTGTTCATCAATTTGTCTCATCCATAGTGAAGCAGTTACAGATACATTTGATTGTTTTTCCTTATGATTTTGTACAGATAGTGAGATTTGAATTTTTTTAGAAGCTAAAAGGCAGCCTCTGACTAGACTAGACAGACAGAATTAATTCAAACAAGATCAATAAATTTAGTACAGTGGTAGAGAGCTCAAGCTCATATGACAAGAGAGAAGTACTAATGTACGGTACCATGAAGTGTTAAGATATGAGGAAAGAAGTTTCTACTAACTAGAGAGACTCTTGTCCATCGACAGAATTATTTTGTAGCACATGACTAATCAAGCAATAATACGGTCAGTGTTGGAGAACGTACAAAGAGACTCAGAGACCCTTCAACTAAGTAGAGACTCTTGGTAATTACTGGCGGTGGGTAATTGTCAGTGTTGTTGAAAAATGTAGAGATGTTAAAACCACGGTCTCTTCCATACTTATAGATCCTTCAACTAAAAAGTCCTAAAATGACTTGCGCGCAGCTAGCGGAAGAGTAAATCTGTTTTGGAATAGAAAACATTTTACCAACTAAAATAATTTTGCTGTTAAATTGTAACCAAAAACTTAAAAAAAATAATAATAAATAAATATTAAAAAATCTATGATACGCAATTTTGTTAATTATATTTTGTAGAAGAATAGAAGTTATTATACAAATCAAGACACACTTTTTATTAGACGGAAAGAATGGTAGATATAGTTAACAATAAGGAGCAGTGTTGTACCTGGAGCAACATATCCATAAGTGCCTGCTATCACGGTATGATTAGACGAATCAAGATCCAGCAATCTAGCAGTGCCAAAGTCAGCCACACAAGCTTTGGATTCTGAATTTAACAGAATGTTGTTGCTCGAAATGTTGCGGTGAAGAATGGGTGGAGTGCAATCATGGTGCATGTAAGACAAAGCATGGGCAATGCCTTTCACTACATTCACCCTTTTAGTCCAATCCAACTCCACAGCTTCCATTTCACTTCTCAAGACCAAAAAAAGGCTTCCCCTCTCCATGTACTCATACACCAGAAACATGCATTGCTTGTGTAGACAAAACCCATAGAGTTTCACAATGTTCCGATGTTGTATTTGTGATAGAAAGTGTGCTTCATTCCTGAAACTTTTATCGTAAGCTGGCTCTTCACCTTCCAGTCGATGGAGTTTCTTCAAGGCAACTACTTTCCCACTGGGCAGCTGTGCTCTGTAAACACTCCCATATCCTCCGGTCCCAATGCAGTATCTGATGTCAAAGTCTTCCGTTGCTTCGATTATATCTTCGAATGCAATTGTCCCGTCATAATTCCATATTGAGAACAAATCTCCATGCTTTGTCACTCTGGACTGAGACTGGGTTCTCTTAACCTTGCGTTTTGAGTAGTAAAAATATCCTAGAATTATGGAGACAATGAAAATTGCAATTGGAAGAAAAATTGCAATTCTTTTCTTGGAAGATGATGGATGGCAAGAAACAGAATAAGATTTTTGAAACCGTGAATATTCACTCTCAAGAAAATCATTGCCATTCAAGTAAATGGATTTTTTGCATATAACAGATGGGGGAAATGGAATGCTGCCAGAGAGGTTATTGTATGAGAGATCTAGGTATGATAGTGAAGGAAGCTTAGCTATCTGAGGCGGAGTGCTGCCAGAGAGTTTATTGTATTTCAAACTCAAATACTGCAAATTAGCCCAATTCCTAATATCAGTTGGGAATGGTATGGAGCCAGTGAGTTGGTTCAAGGAAATGTCAAGATATGTGAGTTTAGTTAATTTGGTAAGGTGTTGAGGTAGGGAACCATTGATTTGATTTGAAGCAAGGGACAAGTATGTCAATTTGGACAATTCACACAGACTTGAAGGGACTGGGCCTATGATTTGGTTATAATCGAGTCTTAAATCTACCAAATTGGTTAAATGACCCAAAGAAGAAGGAATTGGGCCTATGATTTGGTTGTAACCAAGGTTTATCTCAATCAGATTTGTCAAAGACCCTAAGCCGGATGGAATTGATCCATCGAGACTGTTGCTACTTAGGTCCAATGAGGTCAGATTGGATAAGTAGGCAAGAGCTGTTGGGATTGTTCCTTTGAGTTGGTTGTGACTGAGATTAAGATAAACCAAATTCTTTAGATTCCCTATTTCTGGAGGGATGGAACCAAATGTACCATTGTTGCTACTTAGGTCCAATGTGGTCAGATTGGATAAGTGGGCAAGAGCTGTTGGGATTGTTCCTTCGAGTTGGTTGTGACTGAGATTAAGATAAACCAAATTCTTTAGATTCCCTATTTCTGGAGGGATGGAACCAGATATACCATTGTTGCTACTTAGGTCCAATGAGGTCAGATTGGATAAGTAGGCAAGAGCTGTTAGGATTGTTCCTTTGAGTTGGTTGTGGCTGAGATTAAGATAAACCAAATTCTTTAGATTCCCTATTTCTGGAGGGATGGAACCAGATGTACCATTGTTGCTACTTAGATCCAATGTGGTCAGATTGGATAAGTGGGCAAGAGCTGTTGGGATTGTTCCTTCGAGTTGGTTGTGACTGAGATTAAGATAAACCAAATTCTTTAGATTCCCTATTTCTGGAGGGATGGAACCAGATATACCATTGTTGCTACTTAGGTCCAATGAGGTCAGATTGGATAAGTAGGCAAGAGCTGTTGGGATTGTTCCTTCGAGTTGGTTGTGACTAAGATTAAGATAAACCAAATTCTTTAGATTCCCTATTTCTGGAGGGATGGAACCAGATGTACCATTGTTGCTACTTAGGTCCAATGAGGTCAGATTGGATAAGTAGGCAAGAGCTGTTGGGATTGTTCCTTCGAGTTGGTTGTGACTAAGATTAAGATAAACCAAATTCTTTAGATTCCCTATTTCTGGAGGGATGGAACCAGATGTACCATTGTTGCTACTTAGGTCCAATGAGGTCAGATTGGATAAGTGGGCAAGAGCTGTTGGGATTGTTCCTTTGAGTTGGTTGTGACTGAGATTAAGATAAACCAAATTCTTTAGATTCCCTATTTCTGGAGGGATGGAACCAGATGTACCATTGTTGCTACTTAGGTCCAATGTGGTCAGATTGGATAAGTGGGCAAGAGCTGTTTGGATTTCTTCCTTCGAGTTGGTTGTGACTGAGATTAAGATAAACCAAATTCTTTAGATTCCCTATTTCTGGAGGGATGGAACCAGATGTACCATTGTTGCTACTTAGGTCCAATGAGGTCAGATTGGATAAGTGGGCAAGAGCTGTTGGGATTGTTCCTTCGAGTTGGTTGTGACTGATATTAAGATAAACCAAATTCTTTAGATTCCCTATTT